AGATTCTATATATTATTTAATACGACTAAAATATGCTTCGTTGAAATTACGGTTTTAGATCCAAGGTCTCTTTGGATCAAATCCACTTCAGGAAATCCACAAATCGGAACCGATCTCGATACGGAGTGCATATTACGGCTGTGGGTAACAAATACAACAAATCGGATGAACAATATATATGGAAGCTATAGCTATATCTGAACCGATCTTCACCAAATTTGTCATACTATCTTCTAGACTCAATTCAGTCGTATATGCCAAATTCCATCCCATTTGGGCAAATACTAGACGTTTGGTGCACAATAAAAGGTAAATAGGACGAAGTTATATATCCAAATCTTAACCGATCTCGATAAAATTTAGCAAATGTATTTCTGAGCTGTATTTGATATAGTTCCCCAAATATTGTTTTTACAGAGTGCATATTACGGCTGCGGAGGACAAAAATAACAAATCGATTTCAATCAAATTTGGCATACTTATTTTCAGGTCCAATCTGATCGTTCGTGCAAAATTCCATACTATTCGGACTGATATTACACGTTTGGTGCACAATAAAAGCAAATCGGACAAAGATATATATGGGTGCTATATCTAAATTTTGACCGATTATCTTCAATTTCAATAGGGTTCGTCCTTGGGCCAAACAAATGATTTGTACAAAATTTCATCTGGATAGGACAATAAATGCGAACTGTACTTTGTTTACAAAAATACATGGACAGACGGACGGATAGAGAGACCGACGGACGGACATGCATAAATCGACTCAGAATGTGATTCTATGCAGATCATCAAAAGGAACTATGGGTCTAACTCGTTTCCTTTTGCCTGTTACAAACAAATGCACAAAGACATAATACCCTGTCCACCTTGTGGTGTAGGGTATAAAAAAATTACTGTACAGAAAGAGAAAGGATAATCCGATTTTGCTCCAACTTTTCAAAACCTAATTTTACCTAATCTTTTTTTAATAGGTACGACAATGGGTCCAATCCATCAAGTACCTTTCCCCCAAAGGGTGAAAATATTCAATGATTATAACTCTTATAAAATGTGATGTAGGAGTCCGATTGTCTTCAAATTACATATATCACAATATTTTTATTAACCCAAGGTCCGGCGTGAAGATGGAATATATTGGTCCTCTACTTCTAGTACCTTCCCCACAAAAGGGTCAAAATTTTTAAAATCCATGAAGCTGAGAAAACGCTACAGCGACATCCGACTCCATTCTGAATTGATATATCTCATTATTTCCATCAACGTAAGATATGTTATAAAGCTGGTATAGATCGTTCCATTCCTACTGGTACACCCCCCCCCCCACAAAGGGTAAAAGTTTTGAATAACCAAAACGATAACAAAATCCGAAATAAACTTCCGGTTCTCTTCATATTTCCCCCACAAAGTGTTAAAATTTTGAATACCCGTAAAGCTCATAAAGCGCGAAATTAACATCCTATTGTATTTAGACGTGGTTTATCTCAATATTTCTACCAGCACAGGATTTGTTATAAAGAAGGTAGAAATCGGATCATTCCTTTTGGTACCTCCCCCACAAAGGGTCAAAAATTTGAATAACCAAAAGGATTATAAAATCCGAAATAAACATCTCGTTCTCTTCATATTTCACATATTTCATTATTTCTTCTAACACAAGATCTGCTGTGAAGATGGAATATATCGGTTCACTCTTTCTGGTACCTCCCCCACAAAGTGTTAAAATTTTGAATATCCATGAAGCTCATAAAGCGCGAAATTAATATCCGATTGTATTTAGACTTGGTATATCTCAATATTTTATCAGCACAAGATCAGTTATAAAGATGGAAGTGATCGGATCATTTCTTTTGGTACCTCCCCAATAAAGAAAGCGTAATAAGCATTCAACTCTCTTTAAATTTCACACACACAAACATTTTTGAATACAAAAGACCTGTTGCGAATAACTTTTGGTACCTCACCCACCAAGGGTCAAAATTTTCAATACTTTTATCTATCATTATTTGCGAAACATTTACAATTTGCTGCATCCAAATATTTCTCTCAACAAGAAATGAGATGAATATCGAGTTTATGATTTCGCATAAAATTGGAGATAAATGTTCGATTTTTTTATAATTTTTCGATTTTTTTATAATTTTTTAGATGAAGTATGAAAATGGAATACTTCGGTCGACTATATGTGGTACCACGCGTTCACTTTTAACATTTTTTAAAAATTAACACAAATCTCATATAAAGTGAAGAAAGCTGTCGATGCAGTCCAAACCATCACATCGCAATATTTATATCATATTTATTTAGGTCCAATTTTAAATGGAAAATATTGGCCCATTCATTCTTTCCAATCCGTACGGAATAAAAAATATTTTTTTTGCTAACCTTTAATTTATGATCAATGTTTTGTCCAATTAACAAACAATTGTGCAATATTTAACATAACTCGCAACCAGCAGAATATAAATTATTTTAATTTGCCACAAAACACAATCAAATGTCCACTTAGTATTCGGATAATTTGCTTCATGTGTGTGTGTGTGCGTGTGGTCTAGTTTATATAATTTTAATTTAATCTCATAAATGTTAAAATAATATCACAAATAATTTATTGGCTATTGCTGTTGTTAGTGTTGATTTTATTTTCTGATTATATGCGTAATCATTTTTTTGTTTGGGATTTGAAATTATTATTAGCTATTCCTATTACGCTTATTTCGTACGGACATAATCTCGTGATTCCATTAAACCCCAACGTGACTAGGATAATAATATATTGTTTGCTGAAAAGGACATATCGATTTTTTTAATCTCGTAACACATTTTCTAATTATGGAACTTGAGATGGAGAAAAATATTAGTGATACAATTTTGGAGATATACATGTGTAATTTTCCAGCAGTTAAAGGGTTAAACAATTAAAATGTATTCTTTTGAGAGTCAGGGGGTACATTTTTAGCATAGAAAAAGTGGCAAAATTAATAGTATTACTGATGATGAAATTATCTTTTATGATCTAATTTAAAAAAAGGATGTTAATAATTTGTAATTAGGGGTTTGAAAGAGAATTAATGAATAATACCAGGTGAGAAAAAAAAAAAAAAAAAAACTGCAACAAAGCCAAACGCCATAATTTTTACATTTTTTTTAAATTTTATTGAATGAAAGCAAAAAATGTCGGAAATAGAATCAAATTTTAAAATAAGTTTAGATTTGTTCGAAGTGGTCATCTTTGGCACGAATTATGGCCTTCAAACGGCCAATGAAACCGTCACACGCTGCCCGAATGTTGCTCTGCGGTTTTTTTGCCCATTTCCGGCGAAGGACTTGCTTAAGGTGATCGACACTTTGGTATTTTTTAGTGCCAACCAACTAAATTCAGTAAAAGTAAGTGCATCAATTTTGGTGAAAATCGGTTCAGATATAGCCATATCTCACATATATATGTTTCATTCGATTTGGGGTTTTAAGTCCCTCACATTCGTAGTATGCTCTCCACAACAATGATATTTATTATCAGATGTCAGATACAGCCAGAAATACCTCTTTCAAATTCTATAGAGATCTGATCGAATTTAGACATAACTCTCATATATATTTATTCGATATCAGATTTATTGTGCACCAAATGGCTAATATCATCCCAAATGAGCTGAATCTTGGCAATTGCGACTGAATTCATCCTAGAAATAAGAACTTAAAATTTGGTGTAAATCGGTTCCGATATAGCTACAGCTCTCATATATATATTTCATTCGATTTGGGGTTTAAGTTCCTTACTTACGTAATATGCACTCCACAACAATGACATTTGATACCGGACATAAGATGCACCTCGAAAATACATCTGCTAAATTTTATCGAGATCGGTTCAGATTTTTATATACATCTTCAATATACATCTTCATCCAATTTTCCATGTGGTGAAACTCGGTGCGGTATTTCTATTGCCCCAATAAGTATTTTTAATATAGTTCTTATCGAAGTCATATCCTGCACTATACAGCAATGTTATTTGGTACAAGAGGTGCAAAAACCCTCGTCAAATTTTTTGAAAATCGATTCAGAGTTGGATATAGTTCCCAGATTGTGACTACTCTAAAGCCCTGATACGTCCTGATTCAAATAAAGTTCATAGTTGGTATAATCTACTGCATAAAAATTCCCAATATAAGGTTTTTATTACCCTACCGAGGTGTCGGTAGTCGACCCTGTCCGACTTTTGACCTTTCCTTACTTATTTCCTTTATAATTATGATTTAATTTGTAACGTTTCATTTGTGATTCGAAAATTTCAATTGTAATTCGAATTATTTCAGATGAAATTTGAAAGTTCCAATTCGAATTATTCCAATTGCAATTCAAACAAGTAAGCAAAGGCTATAGTCATGCGAGGCCGGCCACGTGATACCCTACAACACTACAATATGGTAGAAGTCCCCTTATGTCCAAATTCATTTTGAAATTATGTCATAGAGCACTGCCCAGATATTACCCTAAGTTTTTTGATCAGGGACATTTGTCCAATATTTACGCACTCCGTTCTGCTGTTAGCTACAGCTAAATATAATCCAATGGTCATCCAAAATGTTAGACTTCTGTCACACAAGTGTTATGGTCTATTTCACCCACTAAATATTATCCAATGACCATCAAAATTGGAAGCTCTAAACTCTAGCCCCATGACAACTTTCGCGTCGATTGGTCTATAATTGCGACTTGTAGAGCAACTACAAAATCAGGCAATTTTTTAGTTTTTGGGCCATAGACCTACCTCCATTCTAAATTTCGTGAAGATCGTAGAGTGATTACAAATTAACATGTACAGACGGACACACATAGCTAGATCGACTTAGCTCGACGAAATAGGAAACTAATATTTCGAGGTGTTACATAATTTTTGGCCCAATCAAACTAATAATACCCCCAACACAAAGTGTTGTAGGGTATAATTTCTCCATTTATAATTCAAAGTATAATTCAAAATAACAATTACAATGTTTCGAATTACATGCGGTAAAGGTGTGGTATATTCTTGCAAATTCTTGAACAGAGCATATGTAGACAAGTGTCAATTCAAACTTCAAAATAATTATTTTGATTTTAATTTCAATTTTGTTTAATTTTCAGATCCTTTTGTTGCTGCTATTGGTGGGTTTCGTTCTTGCTGCCGAGGAGAAGGCAGCTAAACCCACTGAAAGTAAAAAAGTTATCGACACCAAAGATGTTAAGAAAACAGCTACAGAACCAAAGAAAAGCAGAACCGGAAAGCGGGATTCATCGGATCAAGAGGGTATTTAGAAATACATTTTTTTGAAGTTATGCCATTTGACAATAATATGTCCGATTATAGGTTCATTTGCAACGAATCCCAATGATGAACCATTTCGGCCAATGATTGCTCGCAGCAATGCCGACATCTATGAAGCTGCAGCTGCAACGCATAAGGTAAGAACAATATAACGAAATGTTGGTGGAAAATAGAATCAAGATCTATATTCCAGTTCTGTTTCTTTGGAAGGCAGAAATCGGAAAATTTGTATGCATTAGTTGATGATGGTTGCTGTACCAAAATGTTCCTCATCGAAATGACGGTTGTAGATCCTAGGTATTTTTTGAGCAAATTTGTTACAGGACATTTAGAGTTTGGAAAGGGGCAATATCGGTCCACTCGTCAAAATTTTCTCAGGAAAAAATTAACCTACTAAAAAAAGAAAGTATATTCCAATGTAGTGCGAACATTGCAGATCTTAATATTTTTATTAGTATCAAGTAAGTTGCGAAAATGGATAATATCGGTCCACTCCATTAGGTAAATCCCCCACAAAATTTTAATAACTATAACTCTTACAAAATGTGAAATGAGAGTCCGATTATCTTCAAATTTCACATATCATCACCTCAAAATCTGGCAAGAATAACAGGTAGAACGAAAGAGAGGTACTCCATCTAGTACCTCTCCCACAAATGGCCAAAATTTTAAATAATTATAACTCTTGTAAGCAAGTAGCTGACTTGTTCCGCAATTTATCACAGATAAAAGTATTGAAAATTGTGACCCTTTGTGGGTCACGTAACAGAAGGGGTTCGCAGATATATGTCATTTTCACTGTTCGTGTGTCTGAAATTTCCAGAGAGTTGGATGCTTATTTCACTTTTTTTGAGCGTTTTGTTTTTCAAACTCTTGAATCCCATGTGGGCCATGTACCAAAAAATCTCTATCATAGGCTTATTGGATATTCAAAATTTTGACCCCTTGTGGGGGAGGTACCAGAAGCAGTGGGTCGATATATCTCATCTGCACAGCAGATCTTGAGTTTATAAATATATTGGGATGTGTGAAATTTTATGACAATCGGATTCTTACATCACATTTTATAAAAGTTATTATTATTCAAAATTTTGGCCCTTTGTGGGGGAAGAATTGATGGAGTGGAAATTTTTGCACCGGACCGAGAACTGACGCAAATATTAGGATTTGCAAAGTTGAAGCAAAATCGCATTGCCGTTTCTCTTTTTTGTGGAGAAAATATATTTTTTGAAAATTCCGATCTTTTGTGGGGTAGGTACCAGAAGGATCTTAATATCAGATCTTGGGTTAATAAAAGTAGTGGTATGTGTGAAATTTGAAGATAATCGGACTCTTACATCACATTTTATGAGAGTTGTAATTATTTAAATTTTTGACCCTTAGTGGGGGAGGTACTTGATGGAGTTGACCGATATTGTCCATTTTCGCACCTGACCTAGAACTGACGCAAATAGTAGGATTTGCAAAGTTGGAACAAAATCGGATTACGGTTTCTGTGCAAAAAATATATATTTTGAAAATTTCGATCTTTTGTGGGGGAGGTACAGTAGGAGTGGACCGATATATTCCATTTTCAGGATTAGCAAAGTTGGAGCAAAATCGCTTTACCGTTTCTCTTTCCGGGCAGTAAAATGTTTTTTTTTTTTTAATTTCGACCTTTTATGGGGGAGGTACGGACGAATATCTCTAGATCGATTTCAAATGTTCTGAAACGAATTTGTTGCAAATAGACCTAGGGTCTAAAAGCGTTATTTCGATGAGACACGTTTTGGCCATAGCCCCATATAACTGTACCTCCCGATATTCGGTATTTTCATGATTTTAGCGACATTATTCACCGTAATTGTTTCAAATTTGGTATTTGATGTTCTTAAGGGAACTACAGTCTATGACAGAAAATTATCTATGCAGGTCCACGTCTTCGTATAGCCCCCATAAAACGGTAACTCCCTATATTCGGTATTTTGTGCGACATTATTCACCGATTTCGATTTTAAGTTTCGCATTTGAATATTGCAATGGCTTATGACAAAAGTTACCTATACAGGTACATGTGGTCGTATAGAGCCTAATATAACATTCGGTATTTTTAAGATTTTAGCAGAATTTTTAACGAATTTTATTGTTTTTGATAATTGCCAAATTTGTTCTAAATGGTGGAGGGTATTCAATGTTCTGCCCTCTGAAACCATACAATATCTACTCTAAAGCCAAATGTTGATAGGTGGTATGATCTACTTCAAATAAATTCTTTTGTTACGGAAGCTCTAATAGATATGCATAGTGGTATCATATAGTCGACCCCGTCCGACTTTTTACTTTTCCTTACTGGTGTGTATTACTAAATTAAATTATATAATTAAATACTTCGGTCCACTATATCGGGTCCGATACGAAATGGCCAATATTGGCCCATTACTTTGAAGTCTACAAAATTTGAAAAATCATAACAGACGTCAAAATGTATTTAAATGTCCAAAAAATTGGCTGAGGGTATACGTCTGTCGGCAAAACCGACTGATACTTCATAACTTGTTCGATCTAATCTAGGTCTGATACAAATATTGCGGCATGCCAAGCTTGAAGGCAATCGCTTACGTGTAATTTTTATTTTTTTTTTTGAATATTTACCATTTTTAAGGGTACGAGAATGAGTAGGCCTATTTTATCCTTCTTCGTACTTTATCTAAGTTTGAAATATTTTATATATTTTTAATAAGAATTGGAGTTTGCCAATCAAAACTAAATTCTAAATCAGTAAAGAAAGTCTTAAAGTCGAGCGGGGCCGACTTTATGATAACCTACACCACTTTGCTAATTTAGTAGAGCTCGGCATAACAATTAAAAGTTTTTATGGGAGAGTTCAATCATACACGCTATGATTATAATTATAATTTAAAGTTCAAAGGACTAAATATGCCGAAGCATTTGTATCTTTTAAATTCGGACTTGTATTGCCCATTTGGTGCACAATTAATTTGAAATCGGATAAAGATGTATATGGGAGCTATATTCAAATCAGAACCGATCTCGATAAAATTCGGCAAAGATATTTCTGAGCAGTATTTGATATATTTCCCTTACTATCGTTGTTACGGAATGCATATTACGGCTGTGGGTAACAAATATAACAAATCGGATGAACAGTATATATGGGAGCTATAGCTATATCTGAATCGATCTTCACCAAATTTGAGTCTAGAAGGTAGTATCTAGACTCAATTCGGTCCCATTTGGGCAAATATTAGACGTTTGGTGCACAATCAAAGGTAAATTGGACGAAGTTATGTATGGAAGCTATATTCAAATCTGAACCGATCTCGATAAAATTTAGCAAATGTATTTCTGAGCTGTATTTGATATATTTCCCCAAATATTGTTGTTACAGAGTGCATATTACGGCTGCGGAGGACAAAAATAACAAATCGGATGAACAATATATATGGGAGCTATAGCTATGTCTGAACCGATTTCGATCAAATTTGGCATACTTATTTTCAGGTCAAATCTGATCGTACGTGCAAAATTCCATACTATTCGGACTGATATTTTTTTTATTTTTACCAATTATCTCCAATTTCAATAGGGTTCGCCCTTGGGCCAAACAAATGATTTGTGCAAAATTTCATCTGGATAGGGCAATAAATGCGAACTGTACTTTGTTTACAATAATACATGGACAGACGGACGGACGGACGGACATGTATATAATCAGAATGTGATTCTATGCAGATCATCATAAGGAACTATGGGTCTATCTCGTTTCCTTTTGCCTGTTACAAACAAATGCACAAAGATATAATACCCTGACCACCTTGAGGTGTAGGGTATAATTACTTTGTTTTGAATTGGATTTTCCAATTCTTTGACAGAATACAACAAAAGACTATTGATCGATATTTCGCAGCAATTTCCAGCTCCCAACCTTACTGTACTTTAGTTATTAAATTACTCACTACAGTCATTATTTTGACGCCACTAGTTCCGCTTTTCCGTTCCTCTGGCCTTTTGCAAATATTTTCCTATTTACCATTACATTTTCCTTGGCAATCAACTATAGCCACCTCAAATGGCCTTCTTACTCCCCAGATATTCATATTTAAAATTGCCAACAATTTTGCATTCATTTCAATATAAAGCAGAAAAAAACCTTCGCAACCATTTGTCCATTTCATTCATACAGCCACTTGTGTATAATTTGATAAAGTTAATTTTGTTTACAACTATTCGAGCCTTCATTCCGTTTTCTTACTTTGACAGCAGCGGCAGCGAAATGAAAAGAAAAACTAGTTTTTTTGCTACTTTGCAACAATTTCAGGCCTTTTGGGTCATTTATATCTTGGCTCTTTCACAGTCAGCCTGCCAGCCAGCCAGCCTATCTGGCACTTTTGAATGGATGGCGGGCGGCTTCTAGTTTGCCAGTAACGGACAGTGCTGTCGGATAAAATGAAAATGTGAATTTAATACTTTTTCTTTTTTTGTTGAGTCTTGTTTTTTTTTTAACAGCACTTGAGTTGAGTTATAAATTTCCTTTTCATTTCCTATACCTTGTAGCCACCTTCAGCATCCTCATTCAGTTTGGACGTGTTTGCTCTACTGCTATAGCCTAATAAACCTTTTTATAAATTATGGCACTTTAAAGGGAACTTCTTCTTCAGGGGCCATTCATATCTTGTTCGGGGAAGAAGTTTTTTCAGTTTTTTTTTTGGATTTTTTTCTCTTTCTCTATTTTTGTTAGACAAACTTGGAATTGTTTTAAGCCAATGCGAACAGCTAGATTTTCTTTCTTTCTCCACACACATAAAAATACATTATCAGAGGTGCTGATTTATAGAGCATCCCATTTCTTGACATTTTTATAGTACCGCCAAGCAGAGGAAGAACTTTTTGTTTCGTCCATCATTTGTCTACAGTCAACGGGTTAAACAATTGTGGAAATTGTTAAATCAACATGGAAAAGAATGCAAATATTTATCTAAGAAGATGGTTTTCCAGAGTCGGACTTTTTTTTTGCAAGATGTTGAGTCAGATGGAAAAATTATAAGTGGAATTGTTTCATAATACGATTGAGATGTATAGAAATTGAAATAAGAGTAAAACACTATCTTAGCACAAGACATTTGATATTCGTTTTATT